AGGTCGAGAGTGGAAACACGGCCATCAAAAGAGCAAGTGACTCCATACCAGGAACAGGGGCTGGAAGAAGTATCAGTCCAGTTAACCAAGACAGCATGACGATCTGAGGTAACAGAGAATTTCTTGAAAGCCATCAACATGAGCACATCATCATTAGCTTGTGTCCAAGGAAGGACTAGGAGCCGCAGAAACAAAGTAAAGATGCCGTGTTGCAGCACTTGTACCCTCCATAATCTCTTCATTTTTTTCTTTTTCCTTTTTGTGTCTTGGGGTTGAGATTTTATCAACGAAATGGCCTGCTATGGATGTTCTGCATTAGCACAGAAAGAATGAAATTCTCCCTGACCCCCAAGCACTAGCAGAGCATACAGGTATATGCCTGTAATCTGTCCATGTTCACTTCATTTTCAGATCTAATCTAAATTTAAGCTGAAAATCGAAAAAGCAAAAAAAATCAATGGTACCAAGTGGAAACCAGTATGAAAAATGTAAGAAACAAAACTGAAATTCTAACAAAAACCAAAAATCAGAAGAAAATGACAACAGTTGGAACAGAGGAAGGAGAGGGAAAGTGATTGGAACCTGCGGTGGGTGCGTGCGTGCGTGCGTCCGTGTGTTCAGAGATGATGATGATGATGATGATGTGATGTAGTATCAAGAAAACAGAGGTGTCCAGAAAATCTGTTAGAAAAATTTGGCTGGTACCTGCACTGCACTCAACTGAAAATGTATCTATTAAGAAAATTTCCAAATATGAGACCCAGAAGGAAACCAGCGTCTGTTGTACTCTGTACCCTGTAGGGACAGGTAGGGTGGGGGGGAGGTGGGAGGAGAGAGGCAAGTGGAAACAAAGGTAAAGAGAAAGAGAACGAGTGATTTTGGGGATTGGATGGATGATGCCTTCCAGTTGGAGTTGCAGTCAAACTCTGCTTTCTTTTTTTTCTTTTTTTTTTTTTTGGGGTAGATGGGGAGGGGGGGGACCAATTCTCTTGAATTCAATTGCCCCGCACGTACGTCTCTCTTTGTCACTTTCTTCCTTAACAAAATTCAAAACTCCATATACATTTATCTTTTTATTTTATTTTATTTTCTCTTTTTTGTATTCTGGCTTTTCCAATGCATATATTGTAACCCCTTAATCCAGCATGGCACAAGACACAACCTGAGCCACTTGCAGATTTGCAGTCTTGGTCCCAAAATTCATTTGAGTAGAATTTCTTTTTTCTTTTTCCTTTTCTTTTTTTAAATTAAAAAATTAAAATATTACATAAATATATATAATATCATATAATCCATGATTGGTTTAGGTTTTGATACTAATATTTTCTTTAGTATTAAGAAGTTGGGCACTAACGGGTCAAGTGTAATTGGTAGTGACTATGGACATTGTTTTCAATTTCTTGAAGATTTCTAGAAATTAAAATTCAAAATTCATTGCTTTTTTAAAGTACTCTTGGATATTTTGGTGTTAATTTTTTTTAAAAAAATTTATGATTATTCTACATAAATTGAATTGAATATTCAATATTTGAACAAATTCGGCGTACAATTAAGTCAAATAAACATGTGACGTGTGTTATGATGATTCTGAAGAAAATAAATTTTCTTGGCATGTATTCATAGTAAATTCCATGATAAAAATTAAATATTTGAGTCGAGGGCGGTTGTGAAGTCATTGTCTCTTGGATGGGCAATTCAAGTCATATTCATATATATATATATATATATATATATGTATATTTTCTCTCTCTCATCTTTTTATTGTAATTGTTAGATTATTTTAATTAATTAATTAATTAATAAAAATAATATATATTATTTACATTAATCTTGTTATATTTAATAATTATATTAAATCTCGATTAATTTAAAGTTGAACTACGTAGGATATTATAAAAAAAAGCTCTCTTCATGTATATTTTTTTATTTATAAAATTTAAATTTAAAATTTATTTTAAAAAATTAAATTTTATTCACTTTAACCAATAAATTATTGATAAAAATAATATATATATACGTGGAGTGCGCTGCACATAAGCCATGTTTCGAAATGCGCCGAACAAGTTCTGAAGTCGTACTCTTCTTCCTCCTCCTAAGCTAGACAGCTAGTTTTATATATATGTATATGAACATGAATAATAATCCAGGCAGCAACAGCAACAATGTTAGGTAAGATTAAGAGAAAATGTGTAGTTGTTTTAAATAAGGTCAATGCTTGTGCATATAAACAACGTAAATAGATAAAATAAATTAATAATAAGAAGCAAGCATGCGTGTTCCTACTTTCCTACGTCACGAATGATAGTGAAGTAAACATACAAAATTCAAATATATCATATATATATATATATATGTCTTAATTAAATTAATTAATTAATTAAGATGAGATGAGTATGAGAGAAAGAGAAGAATCCCTAGGCTAGGATAGCCATATCCTTGAAATGTTGAATCAAATTAATTTTCTACTAAGATAGACACAAACTTAAGGGAACAAATTTACATTGTTTATTCTTTTCTTATTACGAAAAGAGGGAAGGAAGCAGGGCGCAGGGCACGGGGCGCAGGGCACGGGGACTAGCCTTTTGGACCTTCAGTTTTTGGTTTAGTAATTAATCATGCATGGTGTTATTAGGTCATTTTGTGATATTTTAAAACTATATTTTTTTTTTAATTTAGGTCATTTGTCTGTTTACATATACTATACTAATACACATTATAAGAGCAAAAGTATTATTTGTTTGTCAACGATTTAAATAGTTTAGTGGTCATCTCTTTTTACTAAAAATAAGAGATTCTGAATTTGACTTATGAAAGGGGTGGAATAAATGATAAAAGATGGTTGTCTCTCATTGTGCAATCAAGATAAAAAAAATTTATTTGTTTAAGTAAAAGTGGAGTTGAGTACTTGTCACTCTCTTTCTCTCTCTTTTTTTGTTTTAATTTTTGCATGATAAAAAAAAACTTTTATCCATAAATTTACTTAGTATTTAAATTTAAAATATTTTGTTTCATTTAATTAAAATTATCTTTAAACCAATTAGGTTGGGACACTATTTGATTACCTCCTGTTCTCAATTAAGTACTACTACTCATACCAGACAAATTTTGTTAGTATTTGTTCGAGAGTGGAGTAGTAGTATTAGAAATAATAGTATATATATATATATCATCGCATCAAACCTCATACAAGACAGGATGAATATTTATTTTATTACTAAAAACACCAGAATCCTCGCAAAGAAAGCAGCCACATTTCTAGACCGTCCCTTTTGTTCTTTTCTTATCTTATCCCAATTAATATTTTTGAATTCCATTATATTATAGATTGTTTGCCTTTTGCCAATAATGATGATAATCATCTAAATTGCCTCTTTCGTTCCAAGTTCGAAGCTTTGATGCATGCCTTTAAATCATAAAACAATATAACATGTATGTGGGTGGGAGGGGAATGTGAGATGCATTAGTGAAAGAAATGAAAAAGACTTAGT